GCAATATGGTTCATGGGGTCATGAAGAGTCGGACACGACTTAACAACTGAACAACAACAAAGCTTGGGTGTGGCTCTGTTACACTTTGGGGATATGTGGTAGCCAGTGATCCAGGAAATATTGTCCAGTTAAGAGGAAGAATAGATTCAACTAAATATAAACATATCCTAAAAGCTAATGTCCCCCAGTCAGCAAAAAAGCTGAAAGGAGGTTGCATATTTCAAAAAGACTGAAACATACTCCCAGGATAACCATGAAATATTTACAAGAAACAAACGTCATAGTCCTGAGACATATTGAACATCTGTGTGGACCTCTGAAACATGCAGTGCATGCAATGAGATCTGATCTAAGGATATTTCTGAGCTAGAAGAATTCCACAAGGAAGAGTGGAAAAAATTCAAAAACAAGAATAGAAAGTAAGCAAGAATAGTTGACTGTCCAAAACATTTGGAAGCTTTTTTTTTCAGTCAAAGGAGATGTTACCAGTGTTGATTAAAAGAATGTCCAAACTTTTGCACCTACCATATTCACTGTTTGCTTATGCTGAACAGTAGGCTAGCAACACATCCAGTAACAAAGGATTAGAAGTGTCAATATCTAATGTAGATTCTTGTTTCCTCATCTTTTCTATTTCCCAGGTTCTTAAAATGGAGGGACAAAATCTTGGAAATCCTAACATTTGAAGTATAAAAAATTGCACCTTAGTACTTAGTGTGGGGAAGGGGATCTATATAGGAGCTGAATTTTTAATTTGCTGAACCCTGTAATAATATTTTTATTTGCTAAACCATACAGTAATATTTTATCTTGTAGACTGTTTGATATATTCCAAACCCTAAAATGTTTTGGTTCTCTTTAGGTTCTACTGACTTTGGAAATGTTAGCTTTGTGGTTCCTGGGATTCACTCCTACTTTTACATTGGTTCTGATGCATTGAACCATACGGAGCAGTACACAGCAGCTGCAGGTTAGTAGTTAAAAGTGTGTATATCTTTCACACACAAAAAAAAGCAACAACTTTGAGAACAGTGTGGCAAAATGCATCTGGAGTTTTGGTGGTATAAAGATCTCAGATGCTCTTGTGGCAGCCAGTGCCTTTTGAGATTGGTAGAACAAGACTGATGCTAAGTGCCAGAGGTGTGCAGTATTTGGATCCAAAGCAAATAAGGTGCACAACTCTATTAAGAACACATGAAAAATTATCTTCTTTGGTCCAGGAAGCTAACCAGCTATGTACTGAGTAAAAAGCATGGCCTCTCCACCCACCCTCTGCAGTCATCTTGAGGCCAGTATTTCAGGGTGCAAAAGGCAGGGATAGAGATAGGTGCCTAACTTTGGTGCTAAGGTCACGTGTTCAGATTATACATGTGCATTTCCTGTCCACCCACAAGCACTGAAAGTCATATTCTGTGCATATTAATGACTAATTTCCTTCTCAGTCTCCTGGAAAAAGAACTGATGTCTTCACTGCTGCCTGGCTCGGAACTGGAAATAAAATGAGTATGTGGCACTGGCAAACTTCCATGACAATTATCATTGTTTCATCTTGGCTTCTGGGGTGAGGAGGAAAGGCGCAGTGTCAGAGCAACCTGAGAAAAGTGGCTTTTGCCAAGTTAGATGCATATATTTGCTCCAAATCTGCTGGCCATTCATCCAAGCCACAGCATCCTGTGAGGAGAGTTCTTCTCTCACAGATACCAGATGCAACCCAATTTATACTATAAATTCATTTTTAGCTGAAAAATGTGGATTTTACATTGGTAGGTGCATCTGCAGCTGTAAAAGGACAGTGGAATTCAGATTGCAGTCTTTTAAAAAGGAAACTGTTTTTAAAAACCTCTTCAAATTTGAAAAGGTCCAACATAGCTCCTGTACTGAAATGAAGTCTCTACTTTTTGTGGGTTTGATTATCCTAGGATCAGAAGAAGCTCAGTTCTATGCCTTGAGAACAGCTAAAGCTTTAGCTATGACTGCCTTGGATGTTATTTTCAAGCCAGATGTGTTGGAAAAAGTTAGAGAAGATTTCAGACTAATGAAACTGAAAGAAGAAGGTTGTTTGAATATTCCCGGAAATGCAAAAGGATCAGGTATTGGTATTGGAGCAGAATGTGCATCGCACTGAAGTAATACAGCATATTACTATATCTAAAAACTCTACAGAAAGTCCAGGATTGTTCTACTTCTAGGGAATATTTTTGATAATTGGAAAGATACTGAAACTTCAGTGTATTTTTTTAAATCGTATTTTTATCTAAAATCATGTCATTTGTCTTAATTTCAGACAAAATTACATAGTGTAATTAATTGAACGTAAGCTGTATCTTAGACTTTTGAACTGTTGCAAGTGCTGGTACAATTTTTTAAAAAAATATTAGGTTATTTTCATAGCTGCTGTTCTAATGTTAAGGAACAGAGGGAGCCATGCTTAGTTTATAAGATGCAGCAGCAAACACCATAATCAGGAAAGTTAGCGTACTTGATTAAGTTATATGTAATTGAATTATGGCTTTTGAAAAGGGGATACCAAAAGTTAAGCTTTGTTTGAAAAATGGACCTGGGTTTTTATCTCAGAAATAACTTCTGCCCTCTTAATCTCATTCTCGCAAATGGAGCTCGGTGTTTGAATATGCAACATTTTTCATTTTCTTTCCTCGGCTTTCCTGGAAGGCTGTTTTTTTAATCACTTTATATTTCATACCTGAAATACATTCCTATACCCTTGTTTTGCACAATTTCCAAATCAAGTGTATCTCTTAGTAGGATGTGTAATGTTTATTAAAGTGAATGGGACTGTGCAGTGCTTCAGATTCAGTTCTGTAAAGATGCTTTGGAGTGAACGGAGGCATGAATAGCAGCCGCAGAGGGCAGCTGTGTGGACCCAGGAAACGGTGCTGCTCTTTTAAAGAGTTGTGGGCAGGTGATACATTTGCACACTTGCACATTCAGAAGTGCCTTTCTGGAATCAAATGCAAAGAACTGCACAGATCTGAAAGAGAGTAACCAGGCATAGCTCTTAAACTGGAATTCAAGGGAAAAAAAATTCTTGTGAAAATGCCTGATTAAACAAGAATGGGGGGTTCTTTCTATATTATAGATAGAGGTAGAATATAAAGCAGTATTTCGGATTTTTATTTCTCTTAAGAAAATGTTCAAAAGAAAAGAAAACTTACCTAAAATTTTCCTCTTCTTACATTTGCTTAATTAAACATTTAGGCACTGGAAAAATTACATTTTGAAAATTAATTATTCCAAATTTCAAGTTATGGATGCAGTACAAAGTAAGTTAGCAGACATAGCTATACAGTAACTACCATCTTAAAATAATAGTTTGCCAAGTACCTAATGGTATGGATTTGGCACCTAGAGTATTTGGAATAATGCTAAGCTTTTTTGGATTGAAGGTGACAAGCAAATAAACAGGTGGAAAGTGAGTAACCAAGAGAAAAGAAAATGTTGAAATTTTCCCTCATGGAAAGGGAAATCCTATGAAAGAGTGCTACAGATGATTAAAACTTGTTTTAAAAGTACGACTTCTAAATCAACATTTATTGTAAAAGAGGACTTATTGTGAAACTCTTGTATTTTTTTAAAATCAAACATTGATTCTTTATTCTAGAGATATAGTTATTTCGGAATATAAGGTAATACAAAATCTGGCCCTTATTGGCAATATTTTCAGATACTTGATCCCATGCAGTGCACTTTTATGCCATCTTTTAAAACAACGTCTGGAATCTTTCAGCAATCTGATCCCTGAGAATTTGTAGTCTTGCAAGATTTTAGTATTTTTCTTCCATTTGTACAAATTGGTTAATCCTTCCCAAATAATGTTATACTAACACTGTCTAGGGCTGTTGAGGATACCTTTGAATACTATATTGCCAACCCCTCCATTAATTAGATTATAAACATAATTGGAAAGTGGTCATTTGGTCTGTGTGTGTGTGTGTGTATTGATGCTGTCAGGCAGCCTTTGTATTTGGAATTCTGTAATATTTCTAATAGTGTCAGATTGAGCCTTGCAGTGCAGTTCTTTGCATACCTACTCAGAAGGAAATCCTATTCATAGATTCATACATACTTTCATACTGCACCTCTAAACAGTTTTCTCTATAAATGTCAAGTGCTTACTCACTTTTCAACTGATCCAGTAAATTTCTGTTTTTAGCATCTTTGCAATTTATAATGGACATATTACAGTCTTTTGGATTAATATTATAGATATTGTAGCAAGTTCCACAGCTGTAATATATATGGATTTCTGATTGAAGCAATATGCCTGTACTTACATATAGGGGGAAGAGACAATATCTAAAAAAAAAAAAGCCCTCTAAGAACTATTTGAGAGTTTTGCATGTTGAACTATAAATTGCATGTTAGATTTTACACCTAATCAATAACAGTGTAATGTTTGTTGCCAGACAAGATTAGGATATTCTTTGAAATGAACTGCCTTATTGAATGTTTCTATTATACCTGACATGCTGGAATTTCTTTTTACCTTCCACAGCTGGTCTCCTAAATAGTTGTACCTTGGAAGAGAAATCATACATTATATGTACAACTGTGACATTGTAGTGTATATAATTGTATTAAAGTTACACTTCAGTATTTTGTCCAAGTTGGTCAGTTCAACCTGCCACAAAAATAATAATTTTATCAAGTTATATCTAGTATTTGATTTGATTGATTTCATCCCAGTGAACCATCATTTGAAATAAGTATTCATCTTTTCAAGAAAAAAAGTGGCTCTGGAGGATTTTTTCTTTCTCTGCCACAGAATCCAATTGTGACAGTAGTGGGCAGAGAGCTATCAGACTGGCCAGACCAGGTTTTCTAAGGTTCTGGTCAAGGCTTCCCTTCCCAACCACATGAAATTTGCTTCTGATAACCTTAGTACCAAAGGAAAACCAAGTATTTTGTTGAACTCCAGAAGGTTTTCTTCAAAGGAACTAGCCATGTTAGCTAAGCTGGGAACATTACAACTCCCACGTTTGTGAGGACTGCTAGTTGTAGCTTGGCAATGTGTTACAGACCACAAATCTCACGTTAAATTGGTTTCTGAAAAATGCTAAATATTTCAGGCAGAATGTAATTATATTGTATATTAAGAGGTTGCTGGGCAGTAAAGTTAATGGGTTGCATTATTCTTAGTATTCAGGATGGGGTGGAGGGGGGAATCCATAACAACAACTCAATATGTGTTTCTTAATATTAATTTCTTAAATAGATTTCTTAGCCTGGTGTCTTAAGGATGAGAACTGATATCCAGAATGGAAGAGTAGTAGTACACTGGGAGCATCTTTTCCTAGACTATTCAGATAAGAAAATTAGTGGGAACTAACAATGTTCTATGGACAACATTGTATCTAAATTGCATAGCTTGCTCAGTAGTACACTTGACATAGCTGTTTAATAATTTTTAACTATTTTAATATATACAAAAATGCTTGAAAATTCATCTTGCTATTGCAAGTATTTGGTACTTACAAGCCACAGAGTCAGTTTGATTGGAGCAGCTTATAAGCCACATAAATTCTAAACAGGCAAAAGGAATATTTGAGCAGTGGGTCAAATCGATTGTGTGACCTCAATTTAATATGGGGAGTAGGTGATTTAAAGCTTCAGGAAGTCCAGTTGAAACAGATGGATACAAGGAATAGTTTACCCATAAAGACGTATCCCATTGGTGCCATCCCACTTCATTAGCATGCTAGAAAGGCTGTGACATTAATGATAATAGCAAGGAAAGTGTTTCCACAATAGCTTTTGTATGCTAAAGTTGAGGGCCAGAGACAATATCTTGGTTGGTAGAACTTTTAGAGATATTCTTACTAACTGTAAGTTGAATCTGAATTGTGACTATCAATACCAAGCCATGACTAAGCCATTCAGTAGACTGAAGTGCACTCCACCACTTATGCCATTTCTTACATTATTTGATGCAAAGCCCTTACTTTTTAGAGTTTTGTTTAATCTGAACTAACAAATACTTCCTTAATCCATGGGTAACAGATTTCAAACTTCTTAGATCTGTATAAGTATTATTAAAATATTCATCAGACACAACCAAATGACCCAGGTGTAAAAGACATGCATTTAATATTAAGTAACAGGCTAAGTCTCTATCTGGATATCAGAAATGATCTAAATTGACAGACCTGGAAACACTTGCCAATTTCATAGGTGTCCACAAAGGAGGTGAGAGTGGAGAATGGTGAAACATGTATCATAGTAAACCCTGCCCATTATGTACTGGTGACATCACCACTTACATTTTCTTATTGTTGCATTGTCAGGGTTAGGGTTACCCTGTGGTCAAGCTGTTACAAATGACCCACACATCTTGTAGTATAACCTGATCTACTTTCTGTCAGCAACTGTAAGCAATATAAATTCACAGCGACTTTTCTCCAGTCAAAGACACAGTACAGACATCCTTATAACAATACTTCTGGGCTGTAAAATTATTACAGTGTTTTACATGTTAAGGCTATGCTCCTCTACCAAATTTATTCTTTTGAATCTGTAGTTTGTTTTAAAGAGTACAAAACAAAATGCATTGTGATATACTAAAATTTAAAACTGAAATGCACAAATTTTTTCAAGGTTTTGATTTTTTCTAAATATTTTAGTAGTTACTTTAGGCATCTGATACTTAGAACTTAAAACAGCTTTTTATCCCATTTGTACAGAGGATGCTTTGCGTGGTACATATGAATATTTGAGATACACACTAGAAACTATTGATGTAAATTAATTTGGCTAGGCATTTTTTCCTTTTGAACCACAGTTGTTGTGCAACCATTTTGTTTTCTACACTCATTTTTACAGTGTGCTGAATATAATGCTTGATTATAAAAATACATTTTACTTATAATAGAGAATCTTTCCTAGTTTTTTGGCAGATTGTTTTAAACACACACACACACTCTTTCATTTCCTTTGGGAGGAAGAATAGGGTAAATTAAAATATTGAAAAACAAAAGGAATAGCTTCATCCTGATTACAACTGTCAAGGGTGAAACAAGGCTGGCACCATTCTCGTTCAATGTTTACATATATTCATTAATTAAATTTCTACATGAGCTAGAAATACATGTCGCCAAACTAGCAGATACACAACTGTTCTGCTTTGTGCAGATAACACCATCGTTTTGTCCCTAACTCAAATTGGCCTCTGGTATTTGGACTAAGTGGTATAGATGGTCTATGAAAGAATGTTTCTGGGATCTGAATCACTCTTATCCATTAGCAGGTTAGATGAAGTAACCTCACTGAACTCAACAATGGCCAATAAAACATTTTCTTTCTTTACTTTCTTAGCAAGCAGCTTTATTTCTCTAGTAATGTTGCCTTTGAAACTCAGGCACCTGAGTGGTGTGGAGCTGGAAAGAACCTAGTCCCTGAATTTGAGAGAGAAAAACACTCAATAACTTTGCAAAGTAGCTTTTTCGCCGCCACCCCCCCCCCCAAAAAAGCCAAAAGAACTTCAGGCAAAGTGAAAAGTATTTTATTATGGGGGGGTCAAATGTTTATATAGGGTACAGAAACAAATGATACATATATTGGATATATGTGATCCGTCAGAAAGCAACAAATCAAACAATAAAAGATATTGGTAATCTGCATCTCCTTTCCCACCTGGACTTGTTTCTTTAACACTTGCAACACCCAAGGACTTCAGAGTACAGGCCTATTGTTTAGTTTCTGAAAAGGCTAGTTTTCCCACATCAAAGGAAATGGCTTTTGGCTCAAAGGAAAAATACGGCTTCCTAAACCTAAAAGAGAGGCATAGACTGCCATGCTAGAACATTAATACCACCTTTCTTATAAAGCTAATAATGAAGTCTAACATTCCAGGTAACAGTAACATCTGTAAAAACCATCCACCACTACACTGAAAGTTTAAAGCTCTGAGTTATTTTTAGACTTTTTATCCCACCTTATTTTTATAAATAACTCAAGATGGCAAACATATCTAGTACTTCTTCCTACTCTCTTTCCCACAACAACCCCTGTGAGATGAGTTGGGCTGAGAGCAAGTGACTGGCCCAAAATCACCCAGCTGGCTTTCATGCCTTAAGGCAGGACCAGAACCAACAATCTCCTGGTTTCTAGCCTGGTACCTTAACTACTAGACCAAAATGGCTTTTTTTTTTTTTGGTCTAGACCATTCCTGCCTTCATCCCTTCCCTGTTATTACAGTAATCTACATTAAGAAGGAAATACAATATAAACAGGTAGTGGGCCATCCTGCCACCCTTACCAGGGAAAGGAGGTTACCCATCTGTTAGAAACCTCCCCATCTTTTCATCTACCACAATGAAAGGTAATGAAACATTTGGTATTCACTGGAATTAAGCTCTAGGAGTAAACTACTGAAATGTTATGGGACAAAAAGAACTGGAAAGATAATGCTGTTTGGAGAATATACCTGATACTGTTTTGAGAACAGCATTTAATCCGGCAAGGCAATTTGCAAAAGAAAAGATTGCAATAATGTGTTACATACTCAGAAACATTCCAAACTGTTAAAGATTCACTTCTGTCACCTGAAAAGAATCAGACATGATAGAATGTTCTTTAAATACTACTGTACTGTTTATTTCTGCTGGGCAGTAAAGTTAATGGGTAGCATTGCTTTAGCTTTTGCATCTGGTAATTGTCTGAAGCTGCTTACAGCAAAATTCAGAACAACATAGTAAAAATGTCAATCACTGTAATAGCATAAAATAGGAAGAATACTCAACCTGACTTCTTATAGCATGCCTCTCTAAGCAGGACAGCAGAATTTAGTTTTTAAACCTCTAAAAGGATGTTTATAAATATTTATATAAGTATATTTGTAAATGTTTAAATCTTTGTATGGATCCGTTACACTAGATTACAATTTTGCTTTATTAATACAGTACCAGCTTTGCCATTATAAAGAAGAATCTCAAAATTTATTTTTAAGAGAATCTATAAAAACACTTACATGAAACCCTAGCTCTTTTTGCTGCTACTACCCACTGATTTTTGGTATATTTTAAATCGGAATTTCTATTTCTCCTTCCCCTCTCACTACATTTAACCTATATTTTGATTCTGCTCAAAATGATCTTTTACCCCATGGAATTTCCAGGATCTTCTGCCCTTTCTATACATGGTTTGAACACATTTAGACTTTGAGACACTCCTCACTGAAGCATGCAGCGAATTCTCATAAAGTGCCATAGAACCGTACTGTACTACACACATCTGCTCCTACGTGAAACACATTTCCTGCAGCGAGAAAGCTTGGCAGCTATATTTGCTCTATATAATGTGCG